CCAGGAGCACCATGTATTGAGGCCCACCAACGTACCAGATGCTCTTTGTCTGATTTATTCCACACAACAACTTTTGAATCAGGTGTTTTTAGGTCATGAATCAAAGGTTCAGAGAGATACCTAGCCCAGATCTCTGTGGCCCTAAAGCCTAACTCTCCCTGCCGCACTAAGCATTGATGTGGAGGTATTGCCTTTGCTCAGATTGGGGCACTTCTAGCACCCCGCTTCCAGCCACCACCTTTGCTCACCACCGTTGTTCACCCAAGCCACTGCAGCAGCCTCTGCTTGGTCTCCTAACTGCTACTCATGCTTCACTCCCCTTTCCATGCCCAGCGTTCTCCATTCACTACATAGCATCGGAGTGATCATTTAAAACATCAATCCAGTCATATCACCCCTCTGCTTAAAACCCTCCAGTAGCTTACTGTTGGAGTCACATCTACAGCCCTGACCGTGGCCTACAAGGGCTATGTGCTGTGGCGCCCGCCCACCTCTCTGACTCATTTCCTACCCTTAACCCCTCATTCACTGGGCAGCAGTCCCCTTGGCCTTATTGTTATCCCTCCAAAGTCTGTACTGGCCCCTGCTTCAGGGTTTCCTCTGCCTGAGCTGCTCCTCCCCCCTTATCTTGGTCTGATGGACTTTCTCATCATTCAGGCTTGATTTAAATATTCCCTCCTAAGGAGGGTGTTCCCTGACCACTGTATCGAAAACCACCTCCCTCATATTTCTGCCCCCACCTACCAGCTCACTCTCTATTCCATATCTCTGTTTAATCTCATCATAGCACTTCCAGCCATCATAATACCCACTCCTGTTATTTGTTTCTGCACATGTTCTTTTTCCTGTCTGTATAGTCAGTATCAGAACAGTCCTTGACATTTGATAAGCACTTAATGAATGAAGAAAGGATGCACAGAAAACAGCAGGCAAAGAAAAGGGAGAAGATGAGGAGAAGGTTTAAAGTGGAGTATTTAATTTTAATAACTCATTCTCTCATTCAACTATACACCATCTAAGTGTTTGGCATTTACCACTTGCCACTGGGTGTTGTTGATACAAAAATGAGTAAGACAGAACCTGCTTCCCAAAGAGCTTACTGATTATTTTAAAAAGCGGCCAGGGCTGTGATGGGATCTAGGCAAGGTTGAGTGGCAGACCTGCAGAGGGGTACTCCCCTCCTGCATCCAAGAAGGCTGTGTTAATCCTCACCCAGCACTGAGAACTACCTGGGAGATAGGGGATGAAGATATTGCATTCCAAGCAGAGAGAAAACCTTGTGACAAGTCCTGGAGGCAAGGGTGATCTGGAGATATTTTGGTATTCATTTATTCATTATTGAGCCTTTCTTATATGCCTGGTCATTTCCCTTTTGTAGCTCATGGGAACAAGAGCTGTGATAGAGCACCAACCCAGGACTTCTTCTAGGGTTTCTGGGAAATGACATTTGAGCTGAGATCTATAGGAAGTAGAAGTTCAACAGGTAAGGGGAGCAGAAGGGGTGAAGTCAAGAGCATTTCACAGGGGAGCATCTTGGACAGAAGCAGTTAGGAGTCAGGAAACAGCCAGTTTGGGGCCTACTTTTGAGAACCATAGTTATATAGGTGGAGTTTCAAGCCACAAGCCTAGAGGCGATGACCAACATAGTGAATGTAAGGACAGCAGAGCAGAGATCTAAGGACTGGGCCCTGGGACACGACAATATTTAGAAAGAAGTGGAAGAAGAACCAAGAAAGGAGACAGAGAAGGAGCAGCTGGTGCAAAAGGAGGAAAACCAGGAGAATGTGGTGTCTTAGAAGTCCAAGCTAAGAAAGGGACAGGAAGGAGACGGGAATGAGCAGCCGTGTCAAATGCTGGTTTAAGGTCAAGCAGACCTTAAGGAGAGCCCACTATTAGTTTTAAAGATGGGGAAACCATTGGTACCTTGACAAGACCAGTTTTGGTGGCTTCTGGGGGCTGTATGATTGGATTGATGTTTGAAAAGATCACAATGTGACTACTATTACATTTAAAAAAAATGGAAAATGGCAAGTATTGGTGATGTTGTGGAGAAATTGAAACCCTTATGCATTGTTGGTGGAAATATAATATGATGCAACTACTGTGGAAAACAATTTGGTGGTTCCTCAAAATGTTAAACATAGAAATTGCCGTAGGATTCAGCAGTTCCACTTCTAGGTTTATATGCAAGATATTTGAAAGTAGGGACTTACACAAATAATTGTACATCAATATTCATAGCAGCATTATTCACAATAGCCAAAAAGTTGAAATAATGCAGGTGTCCATCAGTAGATGAATGGATAAACGAAATGTACTCTATATACGTATCCTGGAATATTCAGCCTTCAAAAGAAAGAAAATTCTGACACATGCTACAACATGGATGAACCTTGAAAACATTTTGCTAAGTGAAATAACCAGCCACAAAAGGACAAAAGTTGTTATGTTTCCACTTATATGAGGTACCTGGAATAGACAGATTCATACAGATGTAAAGTATTTTTGGTTACCAGAGGCTGAGAGGACACATAATTGGGCAGTTATTGTTTAATGTGTTTCTGTTTGGGAAGATGAAAAGAGTTGTGATGATGGATAGCAATGATTACTGCACAACATTGTGAATGTGCTTAATACCCATGAATTGTACACTTAAAAATGGTTCAAAGGGTAAATTTCATGTTGGCTATATTTTACCACAATGAAAATAAAATCATGATGGCAGCAGTGTAGTGAAGGAATTTCAGTGGCTGTGAGGAACTGGCTCTGAGATTCTTTAAGCAGTCCAGGAATGAGATGGTAGTGGTTTGAACCAGGAT